GTGGGGAGGAGGAGCCGGCCTCGGAGCAGGGAGGCCGAGCAGCCACGCTCTAGTAGCTGCTGCGCCGCCGCTGCCGCCGCCGCTGCCGCCGCCGCTGCCGCCTCGTCTCTCGGCTCGGCCGGGCGGAGGTGACGCGGCGCCCTCTCGCGCTCTTTCCGGGGCCGGCGCCTCCGCGTCCCTGGGGGGTGGAGGCTTCTCCGCCGCTGGGGCAGAGGCCGGCGTCACCGCCCGCGCCGGGGATGTAGCTCCGGGGAAGGCGGCCCCGTCAGAGCCCTCGGCCGCTGCCGCCGCCGCCGCCGCCGCCGCCGCCGCCGCCGCTGGAGCTGGGCCCGTAAGTGTGCCCGCGGCCGGGGTCTCTGGGCTCGCCGGGGCCTCGGTGGGTAAACATTTCCGGCCCCGCCGCCGCCGCCGTGGGCCCCCCCAGTCCCCGAGTGTCCCAGTCGGCCGGGGGAGGGGAGAGGAGCCGTGGGCACCAGCGCCGGGGAGCTCGGGGGGGGGGGAAGACGACAACTGAACCCCGCGAGCTGCGCGTGAGCCGGAGCTGGGGCACACCTCGGGGGGCTTCCCGGCCCCACTCCGGACCGGGCGGCCGGGACCCTAGCCGGGACGCTGTCATACTTGGGGGGCCAGAACCCCGAGAACGAAGGCGAGCCCTGGTCTTAAAGCCCCGATTGCTTGGACACGTTTTCGATGGGAAGGAAATCTCTCCCTTCCGATGTTCCCGGTTTAAACATTGGAAGTGCTCCCCTCCTTCCCCCCCTCTTTAGTCCTAGAACACGCCTTGATGACTATGCTGGGCCCCCCTCCGTGTCCCCTCCGGGCTTTGGCCTCCTGAGGGCAGGGGAAACTGACCAAGCAGATTACGGCTAGATAGGGGAAATGCTGGAGATAGAGTCTATCCAGATTAGGAGTTCTTAACCTGGTATAGAAAAACTGCTTTGTTTGAGCATTTTAATCATTATATTTCAGTATAATTGATTTCCTCTGTAATCCTATGTAGTCTGTTTTGTGCATTTAAAAGCATTTCGAGAAGGGAAGCTCCCAGGCTTCACCAGCCTGCCAAAGGGATCCGTGACACACAGTGGTTAAGAACCCCCAATCCAGATTTATCTTTAAGTTTTCAATATTGGGTTTGACATCTGTAACTATGCTTACCTTCGCAGGGTCTGGGAGTGACCTAAATCCTAAATCGAGAGTGCCACTAATGTGGTCCGAAAGCAAGAAAGGCTAGGAAGCGCTTTCCGGGGAGGGGGTGCGGGGAGAGGAGAGGAGAGAGTTGTGGAGATAGACCCAGGGAAGCTGAACCTAGGTCCTATTAATTCTGAGACATTAGGTGAGACCTAGACTACAGGGCATAAGTCTGTCTAGAATGAAATGATAATGACAGATTTTCTTCATTTCCTTAATTCTGGGTAAATGGTGAAATTTCCTATGACGAAGCTTCAGGTCTTTTTGAGGTTTTGCAACAGTTATCAATGCTAGAAATTAGACCGGGGGCTACATCCGTGGGGTTTTCACCGCTGATAGAACTATCAAAAGATTTTCTATCTGGTTTTTTCCTATAAAGTAATATAGAAAAGCATTTCTATTCCCCCAAAGGGTGGAGTGTTGGTTGAAATTAGTCTTTGGAACTTGAATTTCTGTTGGAAACTCAGCTTGAAGGGAGACCCCTGCAGAGCTGAGTCTTAAGACTGGAGTGAGAATTGAGAAGCTGTAGTCCTAATGATTGTTAGAATTCTGTGGTTCCCAGAGACTGCAAAATATTTGTACATTTGGCCTAAGAGACCATTTTCGTTCAAAGTGTTAAGGTAACTCTAACAAGTAGTAGAAATTAGTATTACCATCCATTAGGCTTTCTGTTGCCCAAAGCATTAAATACAAACCCCTTAGTCTAATGACCAGGATCCTCCATGATCTTGCTTCATGGAACTTTGGAGAGCCTTACTACCCTACTAACAGTTGTACCAACTACACTGGTCTGTTTGGTGCCTCTGAGAACATTTCTTGCCCTTTCCCAGCGCTTAACCTTCTTAGAATATCTTACCCCTCACATTGCTCCACTTGCAAATAGTCTATAAAATCTCTTTCAACTCTAAAAAATCCTGTGAAAATAGCTTATAGACTGACATCCTACAAACAGCTTATAATCGACCTTCAAAGCTCAACTTAGATCCTGTCTTTTAGCTCTTACTGACTTGTACTGGTTAAGTTTCTTTGTTGTCTTGTTCATAGTTATTGGTGTTGATGTCTTTTCGCCTCATCTAAGTTTATAAATGTCTAAAGGGCAGGAACCATATCTTATTCATCTTTATCCCCTGTACTTAGTAGCATATTTGTCAATGGAAGATCAAATTTACTCCATCTTTTGGGCATAATAACTTGGTGTTTTGCTCCTCCTATAGGACATGCTGGAGAAAGTTTTATTTGCTGACTCCTACAAGATAAAGCCACTTTGAACCTGTCTATAATCCTATTATTTAGCTGGTTACCTAAGTCACATACTTGAGAGATTTGAGCAGCTTTCTGGGCATCTGTGTCAACACAGAAGACCCTTTAGCACCTAAGATCTTTAGAGTTGTAGGTATTGTAGTAGATACTGTAATTATGGAGATGGAAATGTGAGGGTATCCTGACTCACAAATCATTGGGGTTTTTGAGTCAGCTTCAAATCCTAAGGACTTAGTTGATCAATTCCAAGGACTTAGATGATTGCATGTACCCAGTAAGGTGATTAACTTTTTATTTCTCTGATATTCTTCCCTACCTATCTGGCTGAAGTAAGACCAGAAAACTTTCATCATTATCATATTCAAAGTGGATCCCTCATGTACTACTTGAAGAATCTCTAGTAGAATGAAAAGAATGCTGGATTTGAAGTCTGAGGATGGACCTGACTTTGAATCCTGCCTCTGCCTGTACATGTGGGATCTTAGATGCAAGGCATGTCATTTCTCCATGCCTCAGTTTCCTCAACAGTAAAATGAACTAAATGGACTAAGTAATCTGTAAAGACTCTTCCAGGTCTAAAGCTAGACTTCCATGAACTCATAGAATTTTATATATCTAGATCATACTTAACAAAATCTTGGCATGCAGCCATTTAATGTTGTTGCCTCTGTTCAAGACAGTTGAGTATATTGACCAGTTGGATTGACAATAAATAGCAATTAACAAAGAATGCCTTCCAGGTTCAGAAATTGGTAGGAAAATCAGATATGAATACTATTAACTTTGCCTCTTAATCTCCTGTGCGATTTTTAGATTTTTGATCACTACACTTCAAGAGCAAACCTGCCTTATAATGAATATAAGAACCTAGTCTTCTAGGTTGCATTACCAGGAAAAAGC